CCTCTTTGACCCTCTGTTTCCTCATCTCAAGATGTCAAACCTCATCTTAAAGAAGAAAAAGCAGTCAAAGGGGACCAGTAAAGATGTTTGTTTTCCCCTGGGTCTGTACTTGGCTGTCTTTTTCTATATGTGTATATATAAATTTCTGGTTCTAGGGAATTGTGTTTGAGTCAGATAATGTGAATCCATTGTCTGGCCAAGGGTGAGGCCAAGAGGAAGAGGGAGCATTGTACATTGAGCATTGTACATTGGGGTGACGGGAGACTGCCTGGGCCCCCCTTCCCCCCACCAGCCCCAGGGAGACATTGAGAACAGCTCTATGCCAATTCATCTTGGAAATGATCTTCAGGCCATACATAGAGGAAGCAAACTTAAACGAAAGCACCCAGCCACGTGTCAGTGAAGTCTCTGTCCCAGATCAGTCATCCTTCCTAATAATGAGGGCTGTCAGGAGACCTCCTTCAGTCGGAAATGATAGGCTGTGTAAATATTTGGTCTGTAACTGATTTACGGGTTGGGGAACAAAGGGAAAAAAATAAGATTAGTGGCTAATCACAGAGAGGCAGGAAATCAGCAGGCCAGGACACCCACACCAATCCAATCCGGCCTGGAAGGCTGAGCCCCGGCCCCTGCTTTGTCTGGAAGAGCCTGGATCATGGTGGAGGGTGGGGGGCAGGGGGCTGTGCTTGGGCTTCTGGATCATTCCCAAATGATCTTGCCTTTGGCAAGATACCCAGGTGCAAGTGGAAGATGGATTCTTCCCAGTTAACCTGCTTGTTGACAGCCTGGTGCACTTCCTGTGGGTCCAGGGACGGATGCCTGTGAGCCCCACAGTGGGATGACTGACATGGGTGGGAACCAACTGGCTTTGAGGACACCCAGGTCTGCTTCCACCCTCATCTTTTATTACTTTGGAACAGGGTCTCACTGTGTAAGCCAGGTTGACCTCAAACTCACGATCCTCCTGCCTCAGCCTCCTGAAGGCTGGAATTAAAGGTGTGCATCACCATGCTTGTTGACTATGTTTATTCTATAGGCATTAACAATTTGAGAGACATTTCATACTCTAGGAAAAACAAACCCCATGCGGACCCTGGTACCCTTAAGGGCTCTTCTCTTCTCTTCCTTTCCTCTTTTTTTTTTTTTTTAACCTTGGAGGGCAGGTGGCCTGGTGCAGAAGTGATTGGACTCTTGGGTGAAGGGCTAGCTAGTCAGTACTGCAGCCTTGGAGGTCATCCAGCCTCGGTGACAAGGAACCTCCTGCCCAGACAGTATGACAGGGTGCAGTGGGGCTCCAAGGAGGCTTTGTATACAAAAATGAGCAAGGCTCAGGGCTGACTCGGGCCTGGCCTTGGCTCATTGTTCACCCATGGCTGGTCTAGAAGAACTTGGGGGTGCGGCCAGGTGCAAACTCATGGGTCACCTCCCAGAAGACCCAGAGCTGGCGCCCCTCCCTCTCACCTGCCTCGGGGTTCAAGTCAGCTGGTGACTCTCACCCTGGAGCTCAGGTTTGTAGTTGCTCACACTGGTGTTGAGCCTGGCACAGCTTGGTGCTGGCCTGTGACGGTGGGGGCTGTCTCTCATGTTCTCCTTGTCCCCAGAAGGGCCTGACACAGGCACTCCTGAAGCGCCCTGGTTTGGGGGTGTGTTTGGCGTTTACACCTGTGGGCCATCTTGCCTCTCTGGACTCCTGTGTCCTTGTCTATAAAGTGGACCTCCCCCTTTCCCTTCCCTCCAGCTGCGAAGAGCTTCCCTCCTCCTTGCCAACACTGGTTCTCTCCAGCTTGGGTTTTGCCTGTGGCCTCTGGTGGGTTGGAAGGCCAATGTCACGTGATTCCCATGTGCCTTTCCCTGAAGGGGGTCAGCTTGGTGGCTTCTGGGGAGAAATGTCTATAAAAAGCCCTTTTTCATTTTTTTAAATTGGGTTACTCATCTTGTTGTTGTTGTTATAAAAACCTTGTTGGAAGCCGGAGCTGATGTGCAGGAGGGTTTCATTTTTACAGCTGGCTTGGTGAGTTTTTACGTCTGTCCATGCAGCAGGTGACCGGCGGAGACAGAGGTGTTTTCAGCTCCCCAAGAAGGCTTGCCCCTTGCCCAGTCAGTAAGACTCCCAGAGAAATTCATGCTGCTAGCCAGCTCTCAGCATAGATTGGCTGACTCATTCTTTTTTTCTTTGGGAGGGAGATGGTGAGGTTTGAACTCAGGGCCTCCAGCTAGCTAGTCAGGGCTCTATCACCAGAGCCACACCTCCAGCTCCTTTGTTTTAGTTATTTTGTTAAGATTTTAATCTTCCTTCCTCTCCCCCCCCCCTCTTTACTGAGATCCTCCTATCTCTGCCTCCTGAGTAGCTGCAATTACAGGTATGAACCAGCAGGGCCTGGAGCTTCTCTGAGCCTTCATTTTTGTAGCTTTGTGAGGAAGGAAATAGCCTTCTCCACTCCTCCTGACTTCTCCAGCCCTAGCTGAGAAACCACCAGCAGCTGCAGTCACAGCAGGTCCTTGCTGTGGGACCCTGCAGGGATCATCAGCACAACGGAGGCCCAGGCAGCCAGCTTGGGGAAGGCGTGGATCTAAGATAACCGGGATTCCCAGGTCACCCGGGGGAAGGGACCAGGAAGGGCTCTGAGAGGAACCTTGGATACATTTTGAAGCCAGACACTCTTTAAACCAGCTCTTGGGGACAGGGACACGTGTGCAACTAGCTACAGGGCTAGTTTGATTCGTGCCAGAGTCTTCATCCAGGACAGGCCTTTAAGAAGAATGTCATGAGCACCTACTGTGTTCCAGACTCTGTGCTGGCTGTCTAGGATATAAAGATAAATGGAACACAGCCATTGCTCTCAAAGCACTCCCCCGCCCCCATCTGATGGGGAGGTGACATTTTTTGAAAAAATAGGAAATGGCAGCCATATTGATGGGGAGAACTGAGAAGGATGGCTGTCCTTGGCCAGGAGAGGGGTGTAGGTGTGTGTGTGTGGGGGGAGCACTTGCAAACCTTGCTCAGAGTGGCTGGATTCCAGGATGGCTGCCTGCAGGAGGTCCACAGGGGCTGGGTCATCTCAGACAAATGGAGATGAACCAGGCAGGCAGCCTGCAGTGGTTAGCATGAGCAGAAGGTGTTCTTCTCTGCAGCAGGAGCCAAATGGTCTTCCCTTGGGTGGGCAGGACCAGTGCCCGGCTGGGCATAGGTGCAAGACTGAGCCATGGCTCCCTTCTTCCCTTTCCCTTGGGGAGGAGGGACGCAGAGCCCATGGCCGTGAGTTGTGAGGTTCCAGAGTTGGGCTCTTCTTTCTCTTCTTTCATTTAGAAATCTTCCCACAAATGCTAAAGTTCCCATGGGAGGTGAGTTACTCCCTAGGCCCAGGTGCACACGGGTCACCGCATCATCTTTGGGCCTTAAAGAGACCCCCCCCAAATAAAAAGCAGGGCTCAATGGCACTGACATTCCCATTTTGTTTTAGCAGCAGATTCTGTCTGGAGTTAATAAATAACGAATTCTCAGGATAGAATGACAATAAACATGGATACTTTGCAGTGATTCAGAGATGACTTTTATTCCATCTTCTCCCCCGTGGTGAGAGAGATGAGGTGAATTGAAAACTTAACTGATCCCCAGAGAGGGGGAAGCTAAACCGCAAGCATCTGTCCCTGAAATCTGGTCATTCACCACCCACCTGCACCCCACCCCACCCAGGAGTGCTATGAGGGGCTAGACAGAGGGAAGGGCAAGGTACCCCAGGGTCCGTGTGTGTGTGTGTGTGTGTGTGTGTGTGTGTGTGTGTGCACCCACGCACCCACGCTGGTACTTAGGCTTGAATACAGGGCCCAAGAACTGTCCTTGAACTTTTTCATTCGAGGCTGATGCTCTACCACTTGAACCACTTTTCCATTTCCAGCTTTTTGGTGGTTAACTGGAGATCAGTCTCACAGATTTTCCTGCCCTGGCTAGCTTTGTACTGTGAGCCTCAGATGTCAGCCTTCTGAGAATCTGGGATTACAGGTATGAGCCATGATGCCTGGCTTCCAGGGTCTCTATTTGATGACTGTCTCTCTACCCCTGCAGTACTCATGCCCCCGCTCCTCCCCCAACCCCCAGTGATCCAGCCCAGGGTGCTGGGAGCTTCCTGCCTTCAGTACTCCTAAAAGGAGCACCATCCCAGTACTTGGTAGGACCTCAGATGAGAACCAGACAGACTCCCAGGTGGGCTCAGGGTAAGGGGTTCTGTAGCAGAAACCCCAACAAGCAGAAGTTTCCACCAAGGGTTATTGGCATCCCACTGGAGGTTTGATCTGTTTACATCTCCTGAAAGGTGTCAGGAAGGTGTGTGTGTGTGTGTGGTATGTATTTTGGGGGGGCACAAGGGGGGTTCATTTTAACATGTCCATAGGCACATTACAATGTATCTTGGCCAGACTCACACCCCCTCCCCCACCCCCCCCCCCCCCCCGTGACTCTTCTTCGTCCCCCTCCCTACCCTTGTCTATGCCAGCATCACTGGTCCATTCTCACACATGAACACAAAGGATTGGGAACATTCGTGCCCTCCTTCGCCCTCCCTCCCTCCCAGTTTGGTGGTTTTTATACAGCTGGTTGCAGGGAACCTGGCATGGGGTGATGCCACCTTGACCCAGGTCTCCTGGATGTTACCAGTCCACCAGAGGACAGCATGGTAGAGGGCCGAGTGCCTGCAGCCCTGGGACCCCAGGATGTCCAGGGTTGGATTTGACCTTCATTTTCTAGAACTTTCACAGGGAGCTAAGAGGAAAAGAATGGCCTATTATGTCTTCCTGGGTCTTCACAGCTGACATGGGCTCGTCAGAGGATCCAAGAGGACCTGGGGACAAAACCCCTCCATCCTGTTCCCCACAACTGTATCTTTTCTCATTTTCTCCCTGGGAACTCCTTTTTCTCTCTCCCCCTTTCCCCTGTGGAGACCCAAGGCCGGGGTTAACTCAATGCATAATACGGCTCTAGCTCCTTTTCTGTCTCCTTTTTCCAGAGCCAAGAAAAAGAGCAAACCCTTCAACCTCAAGATCCACAGCGGCGGCGTGGGCAGTTGCGAGAACATTCCAGCGCAGCCGCGCTCCCCGCTGCTGTCCGACCGCTCCCTGCGCTCCTTCTTTGTGGGGCACGCGCCCTTCCTGCCCTCCACCCCGCCCGTGCACTCCGAGGCCAACTGCTCTGCAAGTAAGTCTCCCTTCGCCTGCGCCTGCCCCGTCTCCCCCAGGCTGTGCTGTCTTCCATGCCGGCTGCCATGGTGCAGACATTTTTCTTATGCATCACCTGCTTCGCCCCTCGCCCTGCCCCCATGCCAATCCCGTCCCTTTGGGTGGCTTGGAGGGGGTGTCCTCAGCTCTTGGCTGCTGACATCGTGCGCCTGGCCCCTGCTCTTTGCGGGCAGGTAGATATGACAAGGATCTCCACAGGCATGTCAGCCCTCCTCTCTCCTCCCTACCATTCTTCAGCTGCTTGGTTCCAGAATCTTCTTGGCCACTGTGGGTTAAGGCACCGGGAATGTTGTATTTTGCTTTGCTCTGGCCAGCCTATGTGGCCTCTACTGCTCAGAGATGGAGTCAGGTTCAAACTGGGCTGATGGTGGCCTGGGGTAGTTTCAGACTCTGTTCTTACACATTTCTGCTGGGGACAGGGTGGTTATGACTCAGAATAGAAAAGGAAGTTTCTGGCAATCAGGACTGATTGTTTCAGAAAGCTTATGGTCTTCTCTGCTCAGAGGCTGGTTTAGCTGTGGGACACAGATGTGGGGGGGGGCCCAGGAGAGTCCTCTGGTGACACCCATTGGCTCCTCCAGCAAAGCAGCAACTCCGATTGGCTGATTGCTGTGAATTGAGCGCTTGACTGCTCCTGTGTCATGTTGTGTCGTTCATACATAAGAAATGGTCGCGGGCCTTATTAGGACCTGCTACTTGCTTACCTTGGGGGACCACATTTAGTTCTTGTTATTATTTTTGCAAACTGGGGAAACTGAGGCTCGGGATCAGGGAACTTGCTCTAAGTTGCACAGCAGCTAAGCTGGGATATGAATCTATTTCTTTCTTACCGAAAGCTGACCAATATAATCATTAGTCCTCATTTGATAGCCAAGGTGTCTCAAATGCACAGCGAGAAGTAAAAAGAACAATCACCTTTCCTGAAGGGCGAGGTTTTATTACTAAGCCTAAGGGTTCTGAAGTTTTCCCCTGGTAAGTCAGGGTCCCTTTGACAACTTGATGAAAGCTATGAAGGCAAAGGGGTGAACTGGGGTTCTGTGTGCAGGTGTGTGTTTGGTGGGGACTGCAGGGACCTGGGGAGGGTCTGGAAGGAAGACTCCATGTCAGCAAGGTACAGATTCAGAGACTGGCTTGTCTGGAGGCCTGTGGTCTGCAGGCCTTGCCTTGTAGGAACTAAGTAGGAACTATAATAGCACTTGGGACACACAGTCAACAGCCGAAAGCCAACTGATCAGTTTGTCAAGAGAAATCACAGTCACAGAAACCAGAGGCAGCACTCCGCGCGCCTGGGTGAGTAGGAACGGGGGACCAGGTGTGTGGTGGCAGTAGGGGAAGGTTGGTGTCACAGCTGGGAATGCGGGCCCCAGAGGAGTGAAGGAGGAAGGCTGGGTTGTGGTCCTTAGCTCTGTACTTTGGTGCTGTGTGTCTGTCCTTGAGAGAGCTAGGAGCCTCTCTGAACCTCAGGCTCCTCATGGAGGGTCAGCATAGCCCTTATGGGGGGAGCTCTGTCAGCACAGGGCTCGTATACAGTAAGTGTTTAATAGATGGTAGCTGACATTATGTCCCCTGGTACTTAATAGGAAGACATAGCATTGACAGCCTCTGTGCCACAATTCTGTCATCTACAGCACTGGGCTGTGAGGTTATCGCCCCCTCCCCCGCACCCTCATGGTTCAGCGAGGGACTTTTCTGGTTGGAGTTTTCTCTCCTGGGTGGGGGCTGGTCATGGCTCGCAGCCTGCCTGGAAAGATGGCTCTGGGTTAGAGACTGTGCTTCCCTAGGAAGTGGCACCCACGCTCCCTCAACTCTGCTGTTGATAGTCAAGGCATCGGTGGTCCCAGGTGGTAGCTGTCCCTGTGGGCGCCTGCGAGTACAGAGTCACCCGAAAGGGACTCCTTCCTTCTGGCCGTCTTGAAGATGAGGGATGGCTGGGCACTGTTGCCACCTGCGGGGGTTCTGGGTCTTTCTTTGTGAGCTGCCTCCAGGGCAGCACCACTGAGGGAAAACAAGTGACTAATGGACGCGCTGCTCCCTAACGTGGTCGTGGAAGCCCCAGCTGGAGTGGCGTCTGGGACCCTGCGTGTCTTAGGAAATGGCCTTCAGGGAAGGGCATGGAGGGTGCGGTGCAAGGCCCCTCTCCCTCTCCGTGTGTCTGTTCTTGGTCCCAGAGATGAGGCAAGGGGAGTTGACCATCGACTGCTTTGTGGGCAGCGGGTGGGAAGGGGGGCGGGCGTCGATAGAGACGGAACTAAATCACAGTCCACACTGGGAGGGTTATGAGGGGACTCTCGGGATGGGGCTGATTATATAATGGGGTTTAATGAGGCTTGAGATCAAGGTTCATTACCCCCAGAAGAGGGAGTGGAGGAGCGGAGTGTGTGGCTGGGAGAGAATTTGCTGCCAAAACTATGTATTGTAGTTAGCTCCAGAATTGGGAGAACTTTTGAGCAGTTTGGATCAGGCTTGGCTCCATGGTGTCAACTCACAGGGGAATCATACTCACCATCCCCGGGGGGGCGGCGGGAGGGAGGGCGGGCTAAAGGACTTTGATCCCCAGAGCTACAGTGGAGGGACCCATGCAGCAAACCCCAGAAGCAGCACATTGCCTAGCTCCGTGGCTCCCTTTTAGAAATCCAGCTCCTCTGCTCCCCTCACAGATTCAGGTCTCTAACACGTACTGACTGCTGGCTACATTTCCAGAAAAGCTGCTCTGCAAATGTTAGCAGAGGTCCCGATGCAAGGCAAGCAGTGGTTTCCGTCTCCCACGCCCTCCTTTCTGGTCCTGTGTCCCTGAAGCAGCTACTCGTGACTTTCTGGCTCATTCTTTCCATGATCACCTCCATGATTTAAATTAGATACAGTGTTCCAGGCTATCAGCAGTAGCAGGAACCCCTGAAAGCTTGTGAACCTCACTGAACCCCCTGAGCTGCATTACCCAAGGGCCACCACGTGCTATTAATGACCCCAAGAGGGGTGCTGAGCAGACGAGAGTCATTGTCTGTTCTCTCATGGGAGAAAAGTCCAGGTTATACCCCAGCTCAGTGGCATCAGGACCCCTGGGAGGCACCTGGGTCTAGGATGGTGCCTCTGAAACCTCCCTGGAGGGTTCCAGTGTATAACCAAGGTCAGGCCCCAGCTGGAGTGGCCGGGGCATGTTGATTAGCAGTGACGAACAACAGCAGGTAAATTCCCACGAGATTTTCCAAACACTTCTGACTTCAGTGTCAGTGCTATGACTTTCTCTTCTTACTTCAATTCACCATTATCCAAGCCTGAGAAATGGCTGCAGTGTGAGCCCACACGACTCACAGGTGCGTCAGCCCTGCTGGGGTCATGGTTCCTGGTGATGCTGCTGCTCATGAATGAACTGATTATCATCAGTTCCTTCGGTCGCCTGGCTTCATCTTCAGCCAAGCTGCCATCCAGACACCTGCCCAGCTCCCTGAACCCAAATGGGCAGGGGTGAAGGAGGTGGGTGGTAGGTGGGTGTGAACCACAGATGCAACTGTGCCTCCTGCTGGAGGTGGCAGACAGATTAAACTCTAAGAACAGGGCCCAATGGGAAACTTTGACATCTTCCAGAGGGCCCAAGGCACCTGCCATTCTGGGGTCATGTATTCACTTGTTCAACAGGACTATCACAGGATACCAGAGACTGGGTAACGCATACAGGAAAGCATTTCCTCCGCTGTTTTGGAGGCCATTGAGGGCCTACAGACTCATGGTGAAGGCAGAAGGTGGGCGTGCACATGAAAGAGAGAAAGGGACTGAATCCACTGTAACCCATTGCCTCCAGAAAGGCAGCAGTCACTCATGACCCAGAATCATGACCCAGCAGCCTCCCCCAATGTCCCACCCCCAAACCTGCTCAGCACCAATCACATTTCACCATGAGTTTCAGAGTGGACAAAGCTGTATTTCAAACCATCCTAGCAGGAACCATTTTTCTGGTTTGGAGTTTTAAAGCTTTCTTGCATTACTTTGCAACAAAACCTCTCTTCAAAAAGAAGCTTATTGACTGGGTGCCGGTGGCTCACTCTTGTAATCCTAGCTACTCAGGAGGCTGAGATCTGAGGATCGAGGTTCAAAGCCAGCCTGGGCAGGAAAGTCCGTGAGACTCTTATCTCCAATAAACCACCAGAAAACCAAAAGTGTTACTGTGGCTCAAGTGGTAGAGTGCAGGGACAGTGCCCAGGCCTAGAGTTCAAGCCCCATGACAGACAAAAAAAAAAAAAAGGAAAAAAAAAGAAAAGCTTATGCACAAGGCCCTATCCCCACAAGACCCCAAGATATGAATAAGCAGGTAAAAGTGAGTTATATGAAGCAGAGAAGTCTGGTATCCCTTCCCTGGTACTGTCTCCCAATAGCAGTGGTTTCCAAATGGCTCTGAAACTCAATTTAGAATTTTTTTCTTTTTTTTTTTGTGGGGCCTGAACTCTGGGCCTAGGCGCTGTCCCTCAGCTCTTCAGCTCAAGGCTAGCGCTCTACCACTTGAGCCACAGCACCACTTCTGGCTTTTTTTCTTATGTGGTGCTGAGGAATTGAACCCAGGGCCTCAGGCATGCAAGGCAAGCGCTCTACCACTGAGCCACTTTCCCAGCCCAATTTAGAATTTTTTTTTGTTTAATGTCCTTCTTAAACATATTTTGAAGGTCATAAATGGAAAATCCAAGGCTCTTCATTCCTTATTCATTATCCATCAGACTAACATGTCATTGATCAATTAGAAAGAGCCACCTAACCTCAGTAAGACACAGAGTTGGGTCAGATGTCAGGGTCAGATGGTCTTTGTAAGCCACCAAAGAGGAGGTAGCAACTGATTTTCTCGTTTTGTGAATGAGGACAGCGGGATACTAGGAAGTTAGGTGGCTTTTCAGGGTGGGGGAGGGGTCACCAGAGGGAGGAAGCGTTCAGATGGGATAGTGTTACTTGAGGCCCATGCCACCGGCCACTTCTCCA